CTTTTTTCGCTCTATTTTTCTTATGAATCCTTTGTCTCTGTATATTCCTCTTACTCCATGTATATTTATGTTTCTACTTCTCGCTCCTTCTATCTTTTTTCTTCCTTCTCTTTCTTTCTATAAGTTTCCCTTTCGATCTGCATATAATTGCTATTGTTTTCTCTGATTCCTCACTTCCTGTCTTTCTCATTTTTGTTTCCTTCGCTTTCTATTCCTTCCTCTTGTTTTGTGTGCTATGCTTCACACTCTTTCATCCTCTGTTTTCTCCTCCTCACCCTCAGTTTTGTTACCACACCCTTTGTATACTAACTATACAAGGCTGTTATGATTTTCTATATATAGTGTGCCTGGATAGCCGAGTGGTTACGATGTGCGCTGTTAAGAACACCGGGCCTCCCTTCGCTTCGGGGCGCCGCAGCCGAACAAAGCAGGCAGCCCCGAGCACTTTTCAGCAAGAAGAAAAGCGCGAGGGCGAGCTCTGCAGTTTTGCACGAGAGTTTGAACACGGCTCAGAAGCACCCCATTGTTACTGGTGCAGGAAATGCGATTCTTCGAGCCTTCGTGCCCCAATTACGTCCACGACGCCGAGCGCGCAAATACGTGAAAGTGGGGACTCCGACTGCGGCTATGTGTCACCGGCTGACAAGATGCCTGAGTACGGATCCGCGCCAGCTGCCCAGACCCACGCTCTGAGACGAGGGGCGAACCGGGCCTGTGACCCCGAGTCGACACCGCGGCTGGTCATCGAGCACCCAGAAGACGCACTCGTTGCATCCAAAATTAGGAGGCATGTTTGGCGCGAAGAGATGATTTCGCAAGAATATTACAAGTGCGTGTGGTGTGTGTATGTATTGGGGGAGGTGCCAACAGAGTGACAGATAGGACCCGCCAGCTGATTGGATGAAGTCGTCCCCGGTTTCCCTAGAGCTGGACTCTTGGGACTTTGAGGGGATGAAAACGCAAGCCGATGACCGAGAGAGCAGATCTGGAACCAACTCTTAAACTGTACAGATGCAATTAAATCTCTTGTATTCCTCTTCAGAACTTGAGTCTGGTTCTCTCCAGCAGGAGCTCTTCTGAAAGACGACATCTTGGGCCACCTGCCTGGAAGCGAGGAAACCAGGGCAGTCGGCGGAGCCTCTAAACTCAATAACGACTTTAAATCTCGATCATTGGCGGGTCCGTAGTAAACATTTCATGATGAGCGTCGGCAGGGTTTTATAATGGGGGGGGGGGGGTTTGTTTGCAGGAGTTTGTGAGGGAGGGGGAGGGGTCAACTGCCCATTCGCACCCCCAGCCAACTTTCATGTCTTTCACATCAGTTTATCACATTGGTCAATGCCCAAGATCTCCTGAAATGGTAACCATTTTTTTGAGGCTTACATAACGTAGAAGGAGCCTAATAAATCTTATTGAAAAGCATTGACTACCATCAAGAAGTGAAAACTGAAAAGTGTTGGTGTGAAACAATGTTTTTGAAATTTCAGTTACAATGTATGAGCTGCTATTCCTGCTTCTGCGTTAGATGTAATCGTGTGATGTAGCCTAAAAGAGTCTTCAATATTGTCACGGGGTCGTGACGTCAACGAAGGCGTGCATACAGTCCCCCTTTGAAGAATAATCTATTTATTCGGCCGAACTTGTGGCCACGTAAAAGGAAAGTAAGATTACAGCGAGATACTGGCACTGATAGCAGCAAACAGAGGGTCGGCCGTCGATCAACTGACAAGCGGAAAAGCATGTTGGCACTTATACTCTTACCATCAAATATTCTAGCGTTATCGCTAGCGGCAACGTTGGTTCTAAAAAAAATCTTCAATGTTCACGAAGTAGGCGTAATCTAAAAAAATTGATCTACCTCGAAGTTTCTCAAACATCGTAGGTGTGGTTTTAGCTGAACGTAGTGTAACTGGGTCATAACAAAGCTTTAGGAACAAACATCGCAATATTTGGATTCTAAAACCACAAATATTCTACGTGAACGGCAAAAAAGCAGGTGAGGGCTTGTATACAGGCGGCTAAGCACTGCCTATGCATGAAACAGCCATTCACCGAGCCCAATATTAAGTAGTATAGTCGAACCAGTTATAACAATAGTCAAGTGCCATGAAAATTTTATTGTTCTATCTGAAAATGGCTAAGAATGAGTATCACGGAATATTGGCGTACCTGCAGTCTGCCGTGAGAAAACTGCAGCATAAGATGCGATATGTCAACAGACGTCAATGATTAGGACCATGAAGGGGCCGATTTTTCGAAAATGCTTGAAAGTTCAGACTATTTCGCGGACGACTAATAGCTAGAGCCACTGTATTACGACATCTTTAGTATGGAACGCTGAAGCTCTTGGAAGTTTCAACTTTTTGTTCAAATTGCATTTGCGAAAGGACTACGGCGCACCGCTCCCACGCCAAAATGGATTGGCAAAGTTAGCTTTACCGCAATGTTGAAGCGCTCAGCGTTCAAACATACTAAAATTTAGAAGGAGAGCTGGTGGACATTGGGTATGTGGGTGGGGGTTGAGCAGCTTAAATTTCTCATTTTCTTTTTATTTTGAAACATTAAACGTTGCATTACCTTTCAGAATGGACAAACAACAGTTTAAATAATTGTTATAAACAATAATGCGCCCTGAAAACATTGTCGTTAGAGGATCGATTCACCATAAAATATATATATTAAGGTTGACAGAGCAGCAGCTTCTCATTGTCATGACTGATATATTGCTTTGTTAAAACCATATCGTTATAAGTGGGTTAGAGTGTATAGTTAAAGGTAGCTCATATTTTAGCCATCGTAACTATCTGTACCAAGATCTTCATAAAAACAGGATTAAATACAATCTGCATGGTTCATAACATGGGTAAAAAAATGGTTTGTTAAGTGTGGGCCTTGTAAGAGAACTGTGCGTGTCCAAAGAGCTCCACCACCCGTCGCCGATGTCCTCCGCTAAGTTTAGAAGCATAAAACACGAGCGACCACCTAGTGTTTCGGGCCCGTCTGTAAAGAGTGAGCGATGATACCCATTTGCGAACAATGTCCCTAGAGTGGTCACGACCTGCCACGTTTTTCCAGAGCTTCGTTCGAGAAGTGCCCTCGCGCTTCTCCTTGCCAAATGGTGCGCAAATTGTCGCTGTGATCTATTCCTAGTTCGCCATTCCCACATCAAGGTTAGGTTTCCCATTCGAGAACCGTGATCAGGTTTTTCAGAATGGCCGTGAAGCTAGTCTTGAAACGCGAGACGGCCGGTGGTCAGGGAGGAGGAGTTAAAGGGCCGCGCTTGGCTGGAGCTGACGCAAAGAAGATCAGCTGTTACGGCGCTGATCGCCCATGAACCGGTTTCCCCATTCGGCATGCCCGTGGTCCGCGCGGCCGCTTTCGTGACGAGAAGTGCCCGGACGCCAAAAGCGAGAAAGGGTTTCCTCTCCGTAAAGGATGCGCTTTGTTCTTCCGTGCATACGCGCGGCACTCTTCTATCTGCGAGGAGAAAGTGGTTTGCGTCGGAGAGATCCGGACTGGGCGGAGTCTCGCATGCAAGAGTCAGTGGCCTCGTGCAGGTTACGTTGCCCCCCTGGCTTAATGAAGGGCTACCCTTTGTCCCAGCTGGGCGCTCAAGTAGTGCTTTATTCTTAGCGCAGTTGAGATCGTTACGTGAGCTCGTGATTACGTGTGCCCATTCCGGTATTGGTCTGGCAAGATAAAAGCACCATTTCATGACCATTGGCATCGTATATACGACGCCGAACGCTAGCTGATGGGGCATAGAAATACTTGGCCAGAGCTTCGTGTTTTCGCCTTCTTTTTCCATTGGTCTATTTTCAATTTTCAAACGGTGTTCGAGCTATTTTGTTTAACTTTTTCACCATTGAGTTCGTTATTTCACGTAGGTATCTCTAATGTTGCCAGCACATCATAAATTGGAGGGCCAGTTTGTCACCACCTCCTTAAAGTGTTAATTCCTGGCACAGCCCTGACCAGAAATATTTTTTTGGGGGGGAGAGTCGGAGCGTTCTGACCTTCTGTTATGTAGGTTCGTGCGTGTTTGTGTGTACGTGCGCACGTGTACACATAAAAATGTAACGAAAATCAAGAGGTGGGTAAGAGTTAGACGTCGCAAGCCACAACCCTTGCTAGACCATTGATTCCTATTCGCTTTCAATAGTGTGCAGCCACTCCACTCCGGGTTTGTGTAGGGTCTTCAACACACAGATACCATCGGGCATTGCAAAACACGTGAAATATCGACCGCACCTTATCCGGCATGCTGTTTCAAGCTGGGTGACTGCAGACTTAAGCTGCGCCATGTCAGTTCTTTTTAGAGGAGAGTTTTCGCCTGCAGCTGCCCAATAAGTAATTTTTCTTGAAAAACCATTGATGTCGCTTCACAAAGTGTTGAACGTTCTGACGAATTTGCAACAAAGGCTAACCTAATTAACACATGACAACAAATATACTTGAAGCCAACACAGGTGCTGGGACATAATAGTGGCCTGCTTCTAGATGATCAGGCTTGGTGCCTTTTGAAACAAAGAATCGCCAGTTTGCGTAAAGCTGGTTGTGTCGGAGCGAATTAGAACATAGCAAGTGTTTTCTGTGGACCCCTTAATAATAAAATAAGGCCTTTTACCTACACTATAATGGCACTCGCTTTTTACTAATGATGCTGTGCTTGTTTGAGTGAATCATACAGAAGGTTAACCAGAAACTAGTGCCCAAATTGGTGTGTTAATTCGACACGACAACTTTTCATCGACTTATAAGTCATCCAGATAACCAGACAATGTTTTTAAAGCAGTTAAGGCACATTTTAACATTCGCCTTAAGAGCAAGCCTGTTATTGCTGCTCAATGTTCCAAACCGTTTGCATTAGAAATGCAGGTGCCTACGCTCGTTAGCTCAGCCAGCATGTCCTTCATACTTATGGTATATATTCCGACGTTCAATGTATTGTTATTCAAACTGTGATAATTTTTGGGTGAGATAAGTAGGGGAAGCATTCATTTTCACGCTGTCGTAGTTGTGTTTATTCTTGTAGTAACTTGAAACATGCGAACACAATGAGTCACGCTACATCTGTATCTATATATGCTCTTTTATTTTTATTTTTTCAAGAAATAAATTAGTGGTGTGACTGTTATCTGAGAAAAAAGGCCGGTGAACTGTGGTCCCGCCGTTTGTGTAAATAAGCGCTTGAGTGTGAGTGGCGTGGTGAAACAAAAAAAAAAGAAAACAAAGTGCTACAAAACAGGCAACTATGTTTTGAGGCCCGTCCAGTGGCACTCCCAATGATCACAAAACTGTACATATGCGCTGCGATGACGAAGGTAAAACAGCAACAGGCGGCGACGCAAAGATGCTTTCACAACTTGTTGCACCGCTTGAGGTTGCTTCGAGCTCGATGAGGCGTGAAGTGGGGCTCCAAACCAGCGGAACCTGCGTGAAGGAGGCGACGCGTTATCAGAGCAATTGGGTACTTTATCATATAAGCCTTCTCTAAGTACACTTTTCACTAAACAGTCGAAGACAAACACGAGTATTTCAGATATGTCTTCTAGAATTGGGCACCATTATTTTCATGCATTAGCAGTGCAGCACACTTTCGGAAGAGGGGGGGAGGGGTGGAACAAAGAAAGGAATCAAACACATAGCATTCAATGAAAAAAATTCCTCTCCCGCCCTTATTTAACCATTGCATACCTTACCAGTACAAATAATTACCTACTACATTTTGTTTCAGACTAGTGTAGAACCCTGTTGAAAAGAGCTTTACGAGCACAAATTTCCTTATTTCGATAGCGAAAATGGCGGGTGTATTTTGTGCGCCACATTAAGTCTGCAGATAAGCTTGATAAGGCACCTCCTCCTCCCCCATCCCACCTTCACGGAAAATGAAAAACTTAAGCCTCTGGTGAAGCAGTGTAATGTTGGCACGTGTTTTCTTGTACCACGCACTTAGATTCTGCACGGGCCCCGGAACTCAAAAGGCATCCTAGTTTACACTTTTGTTTTACTCTTTTGATTTCTTTGCCTACTCATCTTTAAAGAAGGCGAAAATGTTACGATTGTAATTAGTACATAGCGCCACTTCGGTTGTTGATGATTGATTGGTATGTGGGCTTTAACTTTCCAAAACCACCACATGATTATGAGAGACGCCGTAGTGGAGGGCATCGGAAATTTCGACCACTTGGGGTTTTTTAAGGTGCAGCAGAATCTAAGCACACGGGCCTGCAGCGTTTTCGCCTCCACCGAAAATGCAGCCGTCGAAGCCGCAATTCGATCCCGTGACCTGCAGGTCAGCAGCCGAGTACCTTAGCCATTATAGACCACCGCGGTGGGCCCGGTTTTGTTGACAGGAAAACAGTCTGTCTTACTCCTTTGTACACGTACACCTTGAATTTATTATTGTACCGTCGCGTCTCAGGCAGGTAGGCAGGCAGGTCCAAGTGCGTTCGAATGACTCACTAGCGTAACTCTTTCGTCATGGTACGCACCGAAGCACAGCTACACACCAGGAACCATGACGTGTGAATGTTCGGGAAGTCTCGGCATACGAGGCTTTTCTCCTCGTCGCAACCACCGGGGGAAACCACCCGGCGTGACCTCGTTCGATGCTTCTCGTTCTCTGCCAAGGACGTCGCGTCCCCTTTCTTCACTTTGTTTTCACCTCCGTTGCTCATTGTCCGTTAACGGTGTCATGCTCAATCTACCTGAGAACGTCTTGTTTGCAATCGCCACCGATACACGTAGTTTGAAGGGGAATACACAACTGAGGTATTTCCTTCGCGGAACGAAACACTTTCATCGAAGTCAAGCAGCATAGTTCAAACCTGTTACACTGTGATGACGCCTTTTACACTGTCATAGTCACTTGATCACCGTTACATTTCGCGTGATGTCACTTGCGACAAAAAAAAAACGAAGCCGGAACTGATATACTTGGGCTCTGCCCGCGTCCCGGCGAGAGTTATACGTGGCCTGTTTACGCTAGCGACACTGAAAAACTGAGAGAGTGCTGGGCACTCTCTTTGGGAGAGTACGTTCGTGTCCCACATTTCACTCCCTTTTCCGGAGTAAATCACCTCTTGTTGAGGCAGAGTAGTGATTTCCTCCGAACGGGTCAAAGCACTCCCCCTCAACAGAGTAAGGTAACGCTGCCCGAAGCAGAGTAGCATGACCCCACCGAAGAGAGTAGCAGTACACTTCACACACACACAAAAAATAGCAGGACTTGGGCCGAAGTTGGTGTTTTTGATTGTTTTTTACTTATTACCTCACGCGTGCATCGTAAAGACTGCTAAATACGAGCACTATGACAAAAACAAAGTAAAAGAAAAAAAGGATAAAATATGGCCGAATGAGACCCGAGCCTTGACCTCTAGATGCACTCCGCATTGCGTACAGACACGGGTTATAACAACTACACCACACTGAAAGAAGGCATATGAGCGTATGATGTTTTATGTAATAAATAAGATTTGTCACCTCGCTGCATTTATTTGTTTGGAAGTGCACATTTCAGTGCCTCTGCGCTTCTCAAAACCAGCCGGACTGTATCTATCATGTTTAATGATTTTTTGTGCTTCGTGAGAGCAAACAAGTTTTCTGCAGTATAAAAAAGATTAGCGCAACCGATTATATGAACGTCATTTGCACTAACTCGCTAAGTGGTTAGCCACTCCTGCATGCATACGAAACATCTCGCTTCTGAAGAGTACGCTACACAATTTCGTTTCCCTTCACCCCCTTGGACATATTTTCGTTCATTCTTGTTCACATTCTTTTTCACGTCGACTAAGGCCAAAATATTTCACTGTAGCCGTACCGTATACGTTATGGTTACGGCAGCATCTTCCATGTGCGATGGCCGTAGCGAAAACATGAATAATAATAAAAGAAGAATGTCGTAGCCGTTCGCGTGGAGTTTTGATCGTGATCTATTGAATAAGATCGCATTCGTTTATTTCACTACACAGATCCGAAGCTAAAAACGCGGATAGTTCCAAAACGCCTTCCAGTGCGTTGAAATTCGCTGGCGTGCACTGCAAACGCTGTTCTTTTTGTTAATCGTCTCTAACGCCTCAACAAACAAATGCAGTACGTTTTACTGCATATGTGTGTGGTTATTAGGTAGTGCTAATCACTCGTGGTGTGCCGACACATATAAATGTAATCAAGAGCAGGAGTACAACCACGTTTTACTCTCTCATGCCTGTAGAATATATGGGCATTCCTCTTTCTCAGAGAAAAGTGGAGTAGAAAGCAGTTTCACTCTCTCATTTCATAGTGAGTGAAATTGAATTTTACTCTGCCTAAAGCTTTGCAAGAGTAGAAGAACACTGTGAATAGAAACCTGGCCTTTTTAATCCTGCGATACCCTCCACACTTTTTAGAGTGCGACACGAACAGGTGGCCATTTGCTTTAGCACTATAGTGGGGGCTTGCTGGTTTATTTAGCGATTATTATGGCGCACCGATTCGATCCCTTTACCTTGCGGGCGGCTTCGTCAACATTTCTAGGAATGTTGCTCTTGCACGAGCAGCGAGGAACAAAATGGAGCAGGCCCACTACGCGGCACGTTTTTCACTTGAGGCACTACGACTCATTTTACTGTGCAAAACAGCGTCTTCCTATACTTCCATAAACATAAACAACGCGTATTTTAATAACTAAAAATCAGTGACGCGCACAATTTAGTGGAGAATAAAGCCGGTGCAGATATAGATGATGTCTATGGTGGCTTGTTTGGCGCGCGTCAAATTTTCATACACAATGTTATGTAAAATTTTTCCGCAAAAACTTTGTTGACAAGGATTCACTAAATCTGCACTGGTGTTAGATGAAAGCTTATTTTGTGTCGGTCTGCCCCTTCCTTTGCTGAACGAGAAACATATTGCCACCAGGTAGAGCAGCTTTGAAGTTGAAGGAAAGCGATGCCTTTTTAACACTTTCGTATTTCTGCTACATACTTCCCTTTCATTTAGCTTTAGTGCGACAGACGTCAACTGCTGAAAACTGGGTTCGCTGTGTGTGTCCTTCATTCCCGATACTCTGCAGTTGTCTCTATCAGCTTGCCACTTTATTTTAAACTTCAGTATTAGCATGTAGTGATGTAAAATAAGCGGCAAACATCCATGGGTACGAACTCACAGCAATGTGCACCTGGCCCGAAGACGTCCTAACCACTGAGATTATCGTGAAAAACTCGAGCTTATGCGTACATGGACCCAAGAGACACAAATTCACCTGAGCCGTCACCCGGCTATGATGTTCGGCATTTCGCGCATGTTATCTGCGCAAAATACACCTTGATAGTCACTGTAGCCGGTAATGTGCTTTCGAAGCTGCTGTGCACTTAGCTCTAGTGTATGAAGACTGCGTTATAAATATTCAAAGTAAAAGTAATTGAAAAGATGCTGTTCTCTTTTGCGGGAGCCGCAGTTTGCCGCTGTAAATGTGTCCACAAATGAACGAACCCCTCAGATTCTTTTATCTTTGATATTATTTGTTGAAAAATCTTGCACTAGCGTAGTGAGGAATTTTTACGGCGTTAGCAATGAAGATAAAGACGCGCGTGCTTAGTAGAGAATAATTTCCACAATAACTGAACGTCGAGGACAAAAATCTGACTTTATTTAATATTTTGAAGTAAACTCTGGAGTAAATCTTTGATGAAAATGCTTATATTTATTGAGCCCTATAATGACGACGCATGCCGGATGTTCGTGCACATGGTCTTAAGAGGGCTAAGAGGCATAACTATAGATGCATGCAGTGATTCGGCTGACCAAGCTCCTTTTTTGATTCATTCAATTCCATTCAATTATATTCAATCAATTCAATTCATTCAATCATGCCGAAATGCTGTTCTCTCTTACCTCACAAAATGCTGAAGAATACACGACGCTTTTGAACGCGAATGCCCGGGCTACGCGTGTGTCATTCTTCCAAGTTTAGGAAAGGCCGCCGAATGAGGCTTCCAAGGTTGGCGATTCCAGTGGCGATGACCGGTCGGAGGTTGAGAGCTGGCCGGATCATGCTCTGAATTGCTGGCCTCTGAAGCATGGGGCGCAGAACCTGCATGCCAACGTTCGCGCTGTGAGTGACGCCATTGTGCAACAACTACTGCATGTTGTGAATAGTTGGCTACAGGGGTACTATATCTCAATCGCAAGACACAAAAAGAAAACAACGATAACGGGTGTCTCCCGAAAAGTTTTACGACGGTTTTCACGTTCCATCGTTGGGCAACTTTGGGCAATCCAGAGGCCAAAAAAGCTGCCGGGAGACATGGTCTCTATGTTTGCTCCTAGAATAGAGGCCAGCCCACAATCTGCTGGAAATTAATAAAGCCGACCTCTCTCTCTTCACGTTCCAAGCCTCTGAACTTTTTCTGATGCATAGAGGATTGAACATTAGTTGTGTAACTGCCTGCTCAGTAGTTCCTTAAGCCTAACCTCACAATTTCGTCGTGCAATAAAAGATACCAGTCATTATCAGCATGGAATTTTATATCCTACAGCACATGAAAGCTGATGTTGTTAGCACAGGTATTCATTCGAATTATTGTGAAGAAAATAAATCTTGTAAGAAAATAGGTCTTCGTTGGTTCTAGAAGATGGTATTTCTTACATACACTCAACAATGTTTTCTCTTGTCAGCTCCTCTAACATTACACCAAATCTATTTAAAGAATGTGCTCCAGAAAAGCCTGCTAAATGATATACTTTAGCACGTACCTAAGGTTTCTCATTCTACCAAGCTTTTTTGTGGATCTGTGCTGCTTGGCCTCCAAAGCATCAATATTTTACAGCGTAAAATATTTTTTTAAGACAGCTTTGCAGCTCAGTGCTGCCTAAGCTGTACAATGTCAAACGCACAATAATATATCAAATCGCAGCCGAAGCAGTGGGTCACTGCACTACTGGTAAGTTTTTCCTTATGCGACCAGAATGTTCGTTATCCTATATCATGTCGCACGGTACCTATGCTCAATAATTCTACATGATTGGTACGGTATACGCTGAGGTAATTGGTATGAGCTGCTGAACTGCAGCACTTGTCAGTTGTCTTTCTTCAGCCACACTGAATACTTGCATTCAAATCGGTACTAATACCTCAAAATGTCAAGGGCACTAAGTGTGGTTTGAGATTTGAACATTATATACGCACCGAACAATTACAATCAATATATACTCAATAAATATGTAGCCGATGAAACGTAGCGTTGATGAAGGCACCAATTCACCTATATTATGCTAAGTTACGCGTGCATTGCTTTCATGCATGAAAACGTTAGACCCCCCCCCCTCTCCCCGTCATAACTTTACAACCTGCTGCATACCTGCTGAATTCCTGGTCGCAGCCTGATGGCGTTTGCGCTGAGTGTCGGCAGGAAGTTTGGTCGTGTGAAAGTGAAGCTGGGCCGTCTGATCCACCCGCGCAGGGCGTCGAGCAGTGGCGATGCCCGGTACTGGTTCCAGGGCATCAGCAGCTGCTCGTTCTGAGCCATGACACCACTCTGAGCCACCGCCATCAGAACCACCAGGGCCAGGACCAGGTAAAAGAACTGCACGTGAAGTATAGGAGAAGGCCATCAGCTGACGCACAAAATACGTGAATATAGAGTTCAGCATAATTCTAACTCTAGACAGTACAGGAGTTAATGCACGGAAAAAATTAACCAATTATACTCGCGGTAAGAGTTGCCAATAACGGAGCGAGTAGAATAAGCTAAACAAATGATAATGCAAACGTATTCCAACTCAATCGTCTTCTAGATGTCTAAGAAGATTTCCAGAGGCTTTCTGGTCTGCCTTGTATGTAGGCTAAGCTTGCCGACTTGCAGGGCACCTATTCATGTTTTGGCATTGCCAACAATCAATCTTGGTGTATATATTACTCGGTAACGATAATACTTGCAAATTATGCAGTGCCCACGTAGCATGAAAATGATCGAAGTTTACAAGAGAAAAATGTGCAATCTTCTCTTCGAGGTGCCCATGCTTCTAAAAAGAAGGGATACCAACTAACAACGTCAATGGCGCCTCTTCCCTGATAGGTGTAGAAACGCAACTATCAGCAGAGAGGCGCTCGTTACATCAGCTTCGCAGTGGCCCTTCGCCTATGGCCGTTTTGCTTTTACAGCAAACGTAACTTCCACGACCTATGGTCAGTTGAATTTCTTCTAAAATGCCTGATGAAGGAGGTAAAATGGTCCCCAGACGGCACCTAACTTACGGTAATTAACCAAACTCTGCAGTGAAGCTTGGTGAGGGGAGGAGGAGGAGGAGGACAAGAACAACAAGAGAGAAGGCAGGGAAGTTAACCAGGCACATGCCCGGTTTGCTACCCTACGCTGGGGGAATAGGAAGGGGGCATAAAGATGAGAGAGGAGACAGAGAAGAAAAAGAGGTAAAAAAAAGGATTGCCTGTCAATGGGCTGACAGTATGCAGCGGTGGCACTACACAAAAGTTAAAGGTGTTCACATAAGCCTGTAGCCCTCAAAAATCATAAGACGGCTGACTACTTTTTGAGCCGACGAAAGGCGAGCACGGTTTTTTAGTAGCATCTTCATAGAGAGAAGGCCGATCGTCCAATTGTGTCAATGCGTCCGAAATCTTCTGTCTTTCAGGGGCAAATTGAGGGCAACAGCATGTCAGATGGTCAATGTCTTCTTCGGTGCTGCTGACGTCACATTCCGCATTGTCGGTCAATCCGATGGGGGCTATATATGCTTTTGTTAAGGGAACCCCCAACCACAGGCGACAAAGAAGCGAAGCTTCACGTCGACGGAGTCCGGATGGAGGTCGAAGTTCCAGTCGAGGGTTTATTTGGTAGAGTCTCGTATGTGTTACGTTTGGGGTGTTCCACTCCAACAGGCACATACTACGTGACAGGGCACGAAGTTGCTTTGCAGCGTCTGTCCTTGACAAAGGAACAGGAAGAGTGCGCTCTTCTTGGTGTGATGCGTGAGCCGCGTTGTCTGCGGAATCAATGCCACTGATCCCCCAATGCCCAGGTAGCCACTGAAAATTGACCTCGTGGCCTGTTTCTGTGACGTGGTGAAGAACCTTGACAACCTCGTAAGTTAACTGTTCATGGCAACCTCGTCGAAGAACTGACTGCATGCTCAGTAGGGCTTCTTTCGAGTCGGAAAACAGAGCCCATTTACTCAGAGAAGGCCCCCATAAGTAATTCTAAGGACCATAGCGTTTATCACGCTGCGTTTACAGTGTAACGCGTTGTAACAGGCAAGTGTTTCCAGCGCTTTGCTAAAACAACATGGTGGTGGCACCTGCCCGTCGCTTTGCGTTCTACACTTTATCACCTCCGAGACAGGTGCGCATCTTTTTCCGTGGGCGTGCACGCCTTCCTTCGTTTTGGAAGATAACTGCCAGATAGCAATCGTGTCTAACGTGCCTCCATGGACTCGTTCGCCTTCGCTTCACAAATTGAGGCTCTCTAACGCAGCGCATCCAGAACGTAATTCACCGATTTCTCGCGCAGAACATCAAATAAACATTTTGTTCATTCTCTCCACACGCAAGACTATAGTCTTTCGACGACATTTGCAGTGAAACATGCCGATACCGCGCCATTTTTTTTTCACAAAATTATTACTATTGTGCCTAGTGTGCTTTGCCTGAATATCGGCAAGGATACCGTATACCTGCTGGGCACCTGGTTGTCGATCCAGTTACAAAAAAAAATGACGGAAACGTCTCCGATTTCTTGCTGCCTCCAGTGGTCGGCGGGATAAGTGGAAGCGCGTCGCAATACCGCGACAAGAAACTGCTGGTTTCACATTTCACATTTTTTTCACCGAATGTGCGCGTGTGCGAAAAGCACTTCGATGAGAGTTCGCGTGGACGAGTGGCTAATCAGAGGTGTTGTTGTGAAGTCACCGCACGACGTTCCGAAACTTTTGCCGGTACAGCGCCGAGGATTTTCTATGGTCTTACGACGTATTTTTATAGTGCGTGCCCGCCTACAAGCGTCGACGCGAACCGTCAGTGAGCTCGATACTGTTGAGGCTGCATTGGACTGTGCATGGGCCTTCTTGACATAGCTGCAATGAATAATGACGCATTTAATGAAGGTTAGCATACTGGCCACCTGCCCCTCGTTCTATGCCAGTAGGTAATACGGAAGTCTGATGGGTGAAATGCACACCGTTTTCATTTACACAGGCATTGTGATGACCCAAAGTGTATAGATGATATGCCCAACAGATGGAGGTACACTCAGCTCCCCATAGCTTGCAAAAATCTACGCACACATCTGTTGCATGCAGCAGAGACATCAGCGCTACCATATAGAAGCTTGCTAGTGTGACGGCGTAAGAGGGGTTGCACCACATTGCTGTTCAAGACTTGCGAAAGCTGTAAAAGCGTGAAAAGTTAATTTTCGATATCAATGCGTCTTGAGCACGACAAAATAACTTTTTGCGTCGCATTCTAATGCCTTCGGCACTGAACGCAGTCGATCACATTTCACCTTTGAGGAGGCTTGTAAGGCTCTTGCCTTAACAGTAAAAACAATAAAGACGGGCAGGAAAAACACAGCGTCAGTAAGCTACACAGAACACTAAAAAAACCAAGAAACTACATTGCATGGCCAAGCGAACTTGGAACGTGCTACAGCACCGTAGTGATAAATTGACGAAAAACAAAGCGCTAAAACGATGCAAAAGTCATATCAAGTAGTGCTTGATCCTCATAAATTGCTGAATAAAAGCACTGGTTCATTCAACGTGATGGTTGGTTTAATAAGTCCGAGGCAATTTTAAGATATATATCTTCGTATATAGAAACATCCAATGTATATATAGCTAGGAAGATTGGACATGTGCGGTCAAAAGTTGTATCCACTGCACTTCCGCGAAGCGTTAAAAACCACCAGAGTCGTTGAAGAACTTCGGATTTACACAAATGTTCACTGGATGCTCCGGGAAAACCCATAAGCATGCTTTGATAGCGCTAGCATATATGGCAGTGGAAACAGCACGCCGTCGAATTTCTAGCTTCATTGTCCTCATATGACGCAAAATTTCACTGTATTAGAGCTTTCGCAAATTTACTTGAAGCTAACGTCACTTTGAAGACGTATTCAACCTTCACGGCTGCATTTAACATCGTCTCACAACTCCGGCGCATGCCGTAAAATCGTAGCGTCGCGGTGACTCCGATGCCCCTCCGTCGGCGAGGGTGCCCCCTAGCGGTTGCTCCCGTCTCCATACCAAACTTTCGTACGTTTAGCTAGATACGCACCAATGGAGTCGCCTAGAGGTTTGTTGTGCAGCGTGTCTTCCTTCTTACGCTAACTGACGGCTGTTTTCTTACCCTGTCGTATATAAGTGTAGGAGTACCGACGCAGGCTATACGCTGCTGGCGTTTGACGGATAGATCTTCCTTGATGACACACGCTGGCTGCAACTCTCACGCAGTCGGCTACTGTCGCACGGGATGCCTTCTTATAGAAGGACGTTGCCTTAAGATACCGTTGCGAAAAGAGGGGAGGATTCGTACTGGCGCTATATGGATGAGGTAAGCGGACGTCGGTAAGCAGGTTCTTCCATATACCAGGTTCCCGTACTATTTATGAGGGAAGGTAATCCTGAGCATATCGGTCCGCGGTTGATGATTGATATGTGGGGTTTAACGTCCCAAAACCACCATATGACCACCGTAGTGGAGGGCTCCGGAAATTTCGACCACCTGGGATTCTTTAACGTGCACCCAAATTTGAGCACACGGGCCTGCAACATTTCTGCATCCATCGGAAAAGCAGCCGCCACAGCCGGGATTCAATCCCGCGACCTACGGGTTAGCAGCCGAGTACCTTAGCCACTAGACCACCGCGGCGGGGCTATTGGTCCGTGGTTATAAGGACGGGCCGCTTCCTTCATAAACCTTGGATAGGCTGGCAAGGATATATGAGATACGGCTATCAGGAGATGGGGCTACTGTGCCATGGCTTCGTAGTACCTGATCCGCAAAGGAAGCACTATGCTAAGTATACATAAAGTTTGCGTTCTTTCACGTGCACCCTGTGCCACAGTACCAGCGACGCTCCGGTCACAGCAATGTCCAGCCATTTTCCATGTTCAAATATGTGGAACAAAAAATTAGAACGCAAGTGCAGGTACTCCGATTTGTGGTCACCCCATATACTGAAACACCCAAATCTCTATGTGGTGATGGTTATCTGTGAATCCATGGTGTTGTCCTAATTCATGCTTATGGGCGTGATTCAGTTTTAAGTACAGCCCTGAGGGCAGGATAGCAAATTGTGTGAAGCGTTGGTGCATTGCTGCACGCACATTTTTTTATTTAGTTTGACATTTTTGTCAAGCAAGGATATTCATATATAGGTACAATAGTTAGCGAGCAGCTTTTCTACTAAGCAACATTCGTCTACAGGGCCTCAAGGTGCTCTTCAACCAAACGCAGTTACACTATTTCAGTTTTTGGCCAGAATGGCCACAATTAGATAGGAGTTGGAATGCACAACACCATGTTCATTTATTTAACTATATTATTGGCGACTAAGTTCAACTCTTGCGC